TTCTACCTTACAAATCCAGCTAGACCCAAGCATGTACTCAGATACAGATAAGAGCTTGCAACACAGGGAATCCAGGACAGGTAAACCCCTTAGGACCAATAATGTGAGTAGTGATACCAGGAGGGTAAGGGTAAGGTGGGGAGAGAAACGGGGAACTGATCACAATGAGTGACATATAACCTCACCCGCCCCCAGGGGCATTGAAAACAGAAAAGTGGGTGAAGGGAGACAGTGGTTGGTGTAAGACATGAAAAGGAGGAAGGTCCTCAAGGAGATGGATGGACACAGTGGCTGCAACAATGGGCTCAAGCACGGCAAGTAATGTGAGGATGGGACAGGCCTGGGCACTGTTTCCTGCTGCTGTGCCTCGGGTTCTTAAGGGTAATTACTGACTGCATGGCCCCATAACAATGGCAACAACTTTTGTTTAAATGCACGAGAAACTAGCAACCTATTTTCCAAGGCAGTGGTGCCACATTTACAGCAACTGAATGGGACTTTTGGCTGTTTTATATCCTCCCTGTGCATGGCACTGCCAGTATTTTTAGTTTTACTCATTCTAGTGAATGTGAAGCGATATCTCATGGTGAGTTCTGAAATTGATTGTGTTGGGGTCAAAGGGAGATGATGTCAAGGAGTTCATGTAGAAAAAGATTGTTTGAGAACTGATTGTGGTAGCATTTGTACAACTCTTCTTGATGTGATTGAAATGTGGAATGATATAATATATGTACTAAATCCCAACTAATTAAAAAAATGTCCTACTCAAAAACAAAAACACTGGTTTGTTTAAAGCTCCCCAAACAAAAACAACAACAAAACACTTTTAGTATATAGGATGGAGAGTTAGAAGAATAGTCACTCATCGAATCTGGCCATGCTCTCAGCCATTTAATCAGACTCTCTATACTAAATAAGGGAGCTAGAATCTCAGCATTCTAGTACCTTGTTCTTAGAACCTTGAATTGTGGAGAAGAATATTGAAAATTACCATGGACTACTAGAAGGACAAACCAATCAGTATTGGAAAATTAGGCCAGAGTGCTTCTTAGAGGCAAGGATGGCAAGACATCATCATACACATGTTGGACATATTGTCAGAAGAGACTAGTCCCTGGAGAATGACTTCATACTTGGTAAAGTGGAGGGGCCCCGAAACATAGGAAGGTCCTCATGGAGCTGGATTGACTCAGGGGCTGCATCAGTGGGCTCAGGCATAAGAACCATTGTGAGGATGGCCCAGGGCTGTGCAGTGTTTCCTTCTCTTGTACACCGGGTCACTGTGGGTCAGAGCTGACTCGATGGCACCCAACAGAACCTTAGCCATGGTTGTGTTCGGTCAAAGCCTTCAACCCAGAATGCTCTGATGAATAAATCTGTACTCAGACCTCACTCTCTAAAACGAATGGCTTTGCTTCCTTGGACCTTTGCTGCACGTTACATCATTGTAAGGTACAGCTATAGCTTGGAGGAAAAATCAGGGTCACTGCAAGAAGAAGTCCTTGGATGGCACACAGTCTTACGTACTTGACTCCTAGGGTTGCAATGCATTGGAATGGACTCAATGGCAGTGAGCTTTTTGGTTTATGAGCCAGAAAGTTAGCTTTTCATACCCACCCAGCAGTGTCTCAGACCACGGGCTTGTAAACCTAATAGAGCAGTTCTAACAATCCCCATCCATGGAGTCATAACGATCTGGAGTCAACATCACGGTCATCAACAACAGCAGCCACACTGGAGGAATGCTTTCACTCTCCAGGACCATCGCTGGAATGCTGGTGAGGAGCACAGTGGTCAAGGCACATCTGTAGATGCCGTTTCTCCCAGGGCCAATGGCCAGGCTGCCCTGCATTGGTGTGCTTCAGCACTCTGTGGTTTATGTGGGCAGATGTTTTGAGACCTCGCTGAGAAAGGATATGATTTATTTTTTTAAAATTCTAGACAAAGCCTTCAGTCTGAGAAGGGAGACAAGACTTTCAGTCTTATTAGTATTTGGGGAAGCATGTCATCATAATGATATTTCCAGGCTGCTCTGCTCATGAGAACCCCACGACAGCCTGCTTTAAATGAACACAACAGGAGGATGCCATTTTCCACTTCCAAAACTGGCCAAGAATTTAAACAGCATATTCCCTGTTACTGAGTCTATGTCCCTACCTGCCATTCTGAGTACTGTTCACAGGGCCATTTGTTTTTTTTTAAAAAAACCTTAAAATGGTGAATGTCCTTTGATTCTTCCCAGTCCCACCAGTAATAACATCCTAGGAAAAATAATTCTATATTTGTGCAAAGATTGATCCAGTGGTTTATAGTCAACACAATATTGTTCATAACAGTGAAAAATTAGAAAGAAGATAAAAGTCTACCAATGGAGAAATGCCTGAGGATTTTACCTCAGGTAAAATCTGAGGTTGATTCAGATGAAGCAACCCTTAAAAATAAGATTGTAGAGGAATTTAGAATATATATTATAATATAGAATGACTTGGAAAACTTTATCCTCCATTGCAAAAAAAGCAGTTTATAGACCATTGTGCACACACATATGTAAATATCAAACAGAATAACCCACATATGTGCATAGGACCAAAGGCTACTTTGAAACAAAATGAGTGAGGCTTGTTGAATGGAATA